GTTCTAGATCTGGCTAAATGATCTGCAAATTTAACCAGAATTATAAACGATGGGTTTTTCTATTTATCAGATGGCCTCATTATTATTATTTATTAGCCAGAAAATCAAAATCTGGCATCGGTCATAATTTTATCGGTTACGGTCATTGACCGGTCATGATCTGACCGTGGCCATCCCTACTTATCATGCACAATATAGGCTACTTAAAACTCAGCATATGTGTGCCAATTGGATCTAGATACTTTTTAAGCACATAATTATCACCTGAATAATCGTCATAACATAAAAGTGGCCTCTTTTTTTTTATTTAATTATATATACATGTAGCTTAAATTTTACATCAAGTTAGTCATCCCAATATTATTAAATTTTGTGGAGTTTCCAAAGGCATGTATGAAAAAGCTTGCCTAAAACTAATAATGTTAAATAATAACATATGATTTGACAAAATTTAGATCCAGATACGAATAATTTTATGCTGGTCCTCCAATTTGCTAATGGAGGAACTTTACGTGACTATTTACAATCAAAATGAAAAGAGAATAAATTTGAGATTTCTTGGACTAGTCTTATTAACATCGCAATTGAAATTACCCGTGGGTTAAGTTTCTTACACGAAGAAAAAGTATGCCATAGAGATTTGGTGCGTAGTTTGCCTGTATAGGTCATTTATTTTAATATACCAAGATATTCACGTGAAATTTTAATTTTCTAGCATTCTAACAATATTCTAATAAAGGATGGTAAAGTTTTAATTTCGGATTTTGGATTATCAAAAAAAATGGACAGTACAACACCGACTTCGGATATAAAAAGCTTGCCTGCATATATTGAGCCAAGATATTTTCTCTATCCTGACGAAAAAATTAAACGTGATGAAAAGTCGGAAATTTATAAGTTTAGGTGTATTGTTCTGGGAGCTCACGAGTGGAACACCTCCGTTTTCTGGTTTACCACCTCATTTTATAATGATGAAAATTTCGCGAGGAGAAAGGGAGCAAATAATACCTGGAACTCCCGTAGATTACGCTAACCTCTACATGAAGTGTTGGGAGTCTGAACCTGAAAAACGTCCGGCGCTGTATGAAATTTTAACCGAACTTGAAAGGTTATCTAAAGAGATAAAAATTTTGTCGGTCATTAATAATTCAGTTTAACATTTACCAAATGGTTTATTTAGTACTGTATGTGATTATAATGTAGGTTTATCTGAGAAAAAACTTGTGTACATGTTTTTTTTAACCTGAAAATAAATTTAGCTATAAATAAAATTTAAATACTGTTGAAACTCTCAAAACGGATATGCATGGTGGATAGATTTAGTATCATTATTGAGAGGTTATCAGATTTGAAAAATATTATAAACTATTAGATTTATATAACGGAAACGGACTTGGTAGATTAATTTTTTAACGAATTTGACAGGTTATCGATTTTGACGAGATCAGTTTGAGTATATAGTAAACCAGTATAGTATAACTTATCAGATAAGTATGGTATAGTGTGGTATACATTATGTAGATATACAATATGTATAGTTTTTTAAGTTTAAATTATACGGCACGTAGTATTTTTTTTGAATTTATTTACATGATGTATATAGTTTTAACACATAGTATTATACATTAAGTATAATTAAAATTTATTTTATACTATTTAGTAATTATAAGCAAATTTGTCTAGCAATCATAAAACTTTGAACCTAATTTTTTGAACTAATTTAATATCGATTTTGTATTGGCACTTCTAATCAGATTATTCAGAATTGATCAGGTCACGGCTCAAATCAATTTAATTATTAATGTATTTTAATATAATGAGGTAATTAATTAATGAGAGAATGAGGCAATACAAAGGACTGTAGTTATTTATCAATTTGGGAACAATTTATTTGTATTAATGAATAATTGAAATTTTGATTGAGTTAGTTCAAACTAGTATTTGGGTTAATTAGAAAAAGGTATTATCTAGCT